TGTTAGTTGGTACGATGTCTTTTCTTAACCCCCCTCCGCACAAGAGAGTGGGCGCACCCACATCCGGGGAACCTGAGAAACGTGGCGGACTGTGTCACGTGATGCCGACGTACGGTCCGGCGATAGCGGTTCCAGCGCCCTGGATGAGGGTAAGAGTTTCTGTTGCCCGCCTCCTAGATTTAGGAGCGGTGGGTCTTGTTCGCGCCTCTGTGTTGGGCTTTCTTTAGCCCTGCGGCCGAGGCCATTAGCTCACCCAAGCAATCATTTTACTCACTGCATGCAGTGCCTTACGGGAAGGAACACGCGTTAGAGAACCTAGATCACTCCCTCATTGCTGCGACATTTGGTATGTCCGGCCTCGGGCGGAAGCGGTGGTTGTGGGCGTTGTCAGTCCTGGTTGGGACGGTGGTGTCCTGCGAGGATCATTTCTAGAAACGAAAACGGCGTCTCCGACCGTAGAAATACACGTTTACAAAGCTGTATAACGTAGAGACGGGTAAAATATGCCTCTGTCCCGGGAACGGATGCATCACATGTCTGGAAAGATATATCTGGACGATGTGACGTGCTCCCCAGTTAGTACTGTGCCCTTTGCCCCGGGGTCTGCGGTACAGGCCGAAGGGATTGTGGTATCACGTGCTCACCTAGAATTTAAGGGGCGCCTCCTGAAGGGAGCGACCTGGGAGCTGACGTGAGTTAGCCCGGAAAACGGGGAGAAGAAAAGGTTGCACGCTTTGAGACTGTCCGTTGTAAAAGGAAAATGTTCGCAAAAGTGGGACTGCCGTCGTGGGAAAGTAAATGTAACCCGGGCAGTGCCCTAAGACAAAATGCACCGTAGCGCCTGACCGCGGAAATGGGATGTTGACCCCGAGGAGTTGACACTGACGTTGTGTCTAGAAAGCAATTTTAACCACGAGGAAAAAAGGCTTTTAAGTGCAGAGGCGGCAGGAGGTATTTGGAAGGTGGGAGACAGTGCAGAGGATTGCAAAGGTGTGTTAGAGAATCTATTGCAAAAGTCACCTCACAGTTGGAGACGGTAATGCCTCCTCGCAAAGCTGACCTAATCTGTGTAATATGAGTCAGTGAGGATAGAAAGCCTGCTGAGGCTGGAGCCATTTGAGAAAACTTTAAAAGGTGCAGTCTTTGTGGGCCTGGGAAGATGAGCAACATGAACGGGGGCAGAGCTGCAAGGATAAAGGAGACCTTTTACAAAAGATAAGAGATTCCGGAAGTCTGCTTGTGTGTGATTCCCTGCCTGCTGGCTCCTTCAGCTTGTTTTGAGTAGTACTAAATTCCGAACAAAACATTAGGACCTCACCTGCTTCACTAGTGGCCAAAGTAGCTGGGCAAGGGTCGGGGAGGTGGCTCAGTGGAATAAGTGCTTCCCTGGCAAGCGCAAGGGCCTGAGTTCATTCCCCGGTTACGCCAGAAAAAAACAAACAAAAAACCATAGCTGGGCACTTTTTATTCCATTTTTGCCTGAATCCCTATCCCAGGATAAAATCCCTTCTGTTCCCCGCAACCCGTATACAGTAGTTACCTAACTCCTAGGGCTGGCTACCTTGCAACTACCGTATTAGATTCAAGCATAAATGTGTATGAATGACTTCAATTTCTCCTTCAAAGATCGTTTCTTGCGTCAATCTCCATAGTCTCAGAAACTGGGAGTAATGTAAGTGCCATTGGTGCCAGGATCATCCAGGCCTTTAGAATTCCCATTTTAGGTTTAGCATGATGCCTAAGATGAGAGGCAGGACCCAAATTTAGAAACAAAAAACCGAAAAGTACTCTCCAAGCTGCGTGGTTACAACTGTTTAGGAGAAAAAAGGGAGAATGAACCATGGTCAAGGGCCTGAGTGAGCATTGTGATCACTGGGACCAGGCATTACAGGGAATACGACAGTAGGAGTCGGGAAAGGAAGCCCAGAGGAAAGCAGAAACTGGAGCCACTGGGACTCCGCCACTGTTGTTCACCTGGAGATACTCCTTTCAGAGTTCAGCCTAGGTGCTTTTTAAGGAAGGAAACATTTTCCTTAGGCTGATCTGCCCTAGTGTTCTTGCCCAGAGGATTTGTGTCAACCTGTACTTGGTCACTTTGCATAGCCTAGCTCAGGGCTATCCTAGGAAACCGATTTAGTTCCTTTGCCTAAAAATGCTGAGATTTGAGCCAAGGCAAATAGAGACTTGTGTAAAAACAGTATGAGAAGATCTAGAGCAGCTGTAGAGAAGATTTAGCAGGCATTTATGAACCCGAGTCATCAAAGGCATTGCAAACAGGGAAAGGTGAATGTGCAAGTTAAGAAAAAGTACATTTAAGTGCAGTGTACCTGAGGGCTTTATTTAGAAACCTGTTTCCCTCTTGTCACACTGTACAACACTGGTCTGTCAAGTGGACTACATCTGGCCATTAGACACTGTAAAACCTGAAGTCCGTCAGCTGAGGCGGGGGCAGAACTGTGGTCTTATAAATAGGTTAGCGCCTGACCCATACATATGAGCCTTTCCGTACAGAAAAACATCCCAAGCTAAAAAGTCCGAGGGGTCCTAGTACTGGACATCCTTCATCTTCATGTTGAAATAACTTCTTTGGCTTGCAGATCTGACAGGATCACAGCTGCAGGAAGATGGATAGTGAGGTACAGAGAGATGGAAGGATCTTGGATTTGATTGACGATGCGTGGCGGGAAGACAAGCTACCTTATGAGGATGTCGCAATACCACTGGTAAGTTGTAAGTTGAACTTACAAAATCGTCAACTGGAAAAACCTGGCAGAAATGGGCTGCTGATGGAATATAATCTCGAGTGGTGAAGAAATAAGGTCAGCAGCTGAAGCAGAAGGATTGCGAGTTTAAGCCCAGCCTGGGCAGCTGATTGACTCAGCAAGACTGTGTCTCAAAATAAAAAGTAAAAAGAGCTTGTGGTAGGCTGAGTGAAAAGTCCCTGCATTAAGTCCCGGGTACCACAAAAACTGGTGAGAAGTCAAAAAGCTGTGACATAGCCTCTGGAGAACAGCTAGCCTACCTGTTTATTAGGTTCAGTTGGGAATGGTACCTGAACCAAATTGACTTGTTTTGGGGGGTTTGGTTTTGTTTGAGATGGGGTCTTGACATTATTACACACTCACATGATTAGAACACACCTCTGCTAGGTTCACAGGAAAGTATTCAGAGAATACCTGGCCTTTCTTCTTTAGTATTTAGGCCAGCAGGCTCCTGGAACAGTCTTTTCTTTCTCTCCCCCCCGCCTCTTTTCTTTTGTTGCAGTAGTGGGGATTGAACTCAAGCCCTTGCACTTGCCAGGCAAGTGTTTATTCTACTATCTCCCTGCTCCATTCTTTTCTTTCCTGATCCCTAAAAAACTTGCCTGAAAGGACCTTGTTAAGTTGATGTAATAAGAGATCCAAAATCTTTGCTTAGGGACTGGGGAGATAGCTCAGTAGAATAAGCGCTTGCCTTGCAAGCACGAGGGCCTTAAGTTCAATCCTCGGTTCTGCCAAAAAAAAAAAAGATCAAGGAATTCAGAAAATAAAAAAAAAAAAAAAAAAAAAAAAAAATTTGGCTTATATAAATGCTTGTTTAAAAATCTTATTTGTATCATAGAGATCTAACATAGAACAGGAAGAACAGAGCTTGGGGACTTCTAGGAGTGCCAGCTGCAGGAGCAGTTAATAAAATATGATTTACAGGCATATGGTCTGCTGTTGCTAATTAACAGAGAAAATATTCGGCTCACCTACATTTAAGAACACAAGGGAGTAAAACATTCCATGAATTCTGTACATATCAAGTAACAAGTCACAGCTTAAAGCTTAGAACAATAGTCAAAAGAGCAAACATAGTAAGAATTGTAGCTGCCAGGGCTGGGGCAATAGCTCGGTAGAATAAGCACTTGCCTGGCAAGCACAAGGTCCTGAGTTCAATCCTCAGTACCAAAAAAAAACTGAATTTGAAAAAGAAAAGAATTATAGCTGTCATTTATTGAGCAATTTATGCTCTGGGCTAATGTTTGGTTTTTTGGTTTTTGGGTTGGTTTTTTTTTCCATAATTTTATTGAGAAAGAGCAATGAGACAGTTTCAAACCCAACTGGTAGGACAGTTTCAATAATTAACACAGTGCATACATTCTTCCTACTGGTTAATTGCTGTACAAGATGCGGGCATAAAATCCTATTTACAAACACTATTAGAACAAATCCCTCTATTCATTAAGAGAATGTAACTATCCTCACCATTTTGAATACACAGATAAAAAATGGGCATTCATCTGTATCCCCTTTTTTTGTTTAGTTCCATTATTTGAATATTATAGGTGTGTTAACTCAGCAAAATAGTCTAAAAGAGTCCAGTGGTCCATAATAGTATTGGGTCTTCTGCTTGACTGGCAATGTCTGAAATTGTTGACGTGAGTCCCCTACAGTTCAACATAACAGCATGGCTTGACCTCTTATATTTCTTTTTTGTACTTTTCTGCTAGATGGTTAAGACCAAGGTAAAGCAGGACCTATGCAACAAGAGTTGTAGCTTTTGGGTCTGATAAGGTCAGTGAAATCCCCTCAGGATTTATCCTGAGATCCTGTACCT